GAAATCGATCTGTTGTTGATGGGGATGGTCACGAGGAACAGCGCTGGTCTCAATTTATAGGCTGCCTGGCTGCGCCCTGACCCTGCCGCGTGCTTGATTTTTCCTTGATCACAGTTACAGGAAGCTGCCTCCCATGGCGGCCTTGATCGTTTCTTCCCCTGCTCCATTGCGTCGCCATAGTTTCTTGGTTATGTTCAGCTTTTGTGGCGCTGAAGAGTAAGCATCTGCGTTATTTATTTATCTCTTCTCTAAGGATACTGCGGTGAACAGGCAAGTATCAGGTGGTCAGCAGCACATAGTCATGTCATACAACTAGTTTCGATGGAAATGGTACGTGGGTGGGTAGTTACTCGTGTCCTTCCTGGTTGTTCTGTTCGCACGGCGTACCCTTCATCCCTTATCCGTGAAGGAAAACAGAGACGGGAGGAACAGAGTTGTGTCATGCATGTATAAGAAGAAGCGGCCCCATTCGTTTCACTGAAAAAACAAGCTGAAACATTGTTCCGGCTGATTTGTTGGGTGAGAAAAACACTGTTCTGGTTGAAAAAACAGACTGAAAAAACAAGCTGAAAAAGACGAATTATAAAAGAAACGAACATGATGCAATCCATCCACACAGAAATTTCAACGTTGAATATTCTTGCAAGTTAAAACATAATCAACAAAATATTTGACTGTTATTTGATCCATTAGTTTAACTTAGTAATTTGACAATGATACAAGTAGTGCAGGCTCAGGACCTCCCCTGGGTCAGAGTTCCTGAGGGACTCACTCTTTATTTGTGGTTTCGATCGCAACAGGAAAAAAAACTCCCTCGTCTACCCCACGTCCAAAGCACAGGTCTGTGACAGCTCATTTCGCGAAGTTGCGGTGCCATTGTGTAAGGGTAGGACAGGGGTTCAGGGGGGTTTTCTCGATCTACGTGAGAAGATCTTCTTCTTAAACCAGAATACACGGGGTTGTCTAGCCGCCGCGGATCGAGTTTTTTTTACAATGATACAAGTACATATTATGAGAGCATTTCGAAGATTTCCTAACAATTTCTTTCCAAAATCATGGAGTTTTTCAACTAGTCAAAAGTTATTGGAAGGAATAAATAAGACCATCACTCCTAAAATAAAGTGACTTCATGAATCTCGAGATCTGTCGGCTCAGTCTTCCAGAGATGCTTATAGGAGTAGAGTTTGCGCACGTGTGTTCATAAGGGTGAGTGTGCGTGCGTGTTGTGACCGTCTACGATGTACTGTGTAATTCTCAAATAAAAATATAGAAGACAATTTTACATCAAGAATTCTATACTATTTCTAAATTATCCAAATCACTTTTATATATTCTTTCTTGTACATTTACATAAAAACCCTTTCTTATTCTTTATTTTTTTCCCATGCCCTTTCACCTTTACTAGCCAATGGATACACAAGTGGCGGAACATATCCACGTGATTTGTCTATATTTCCAAGCACAAAAAGATTGGAAGGTGGGATTGGAAACTATTGGAGATCCTCTAGGAAAGTCACTATAGATATTCTAGAAAACGGTATCAAATAGGTCACCAAGAAACTAAAAGGATATAGAAAGGGGTTGGTAGCCGTCTATGGTACGTTCAATATTGGAATCCGTCTATGGTACGTCTATCCCCCCACAACCTCGTCCAGAATTATACAAAGAGTGGCAAGGGGTAGCCACATGAGGTATAGAAAGGAAAGACAATTCCTCAACCGAAGACACATCTACCTTCAGTACTTACCTCTAGGTTATAAGATTACATAACTTACTATTACACTGATTAGAGGCTTCAATAAAAGTCTCCATGTTAATTTCATACACGTACATATGGTTTTCATTGTGCCATGCATCATGCACGTATATATTGAATTTATTATTTTAATAATATATTATTAGGATTGAGGTGGGTAATTTAGAAGCGCCATAAAGGATACTTTGTTTTATAACTAATGCATCAGCCCATGCTCATGTCGAGTCTATAATCTTATGAAACATATAAATATTACGTGTTCATATTTAATACCTATAAATTATATTAATTTGCATGATTTTTTGTACATTTTCTGGATATATATAGGTATTCTGCTGCCTAGCTCTGATAATTATCAATTAATAATCTATATGTTTTTCATCCATATTCATAGTTTTTTCTCCTCCACATGGCACCTCTGTGCATCTTTATTATGTATTTTTTCAAAACCTTAGTTTAAATTATGGTGGCTCCTATTGTAGGCCGTCTCTAATGAGGTAATGAATCTATATTTTGTTTTTTAAATTCTTGTTAGCTGTCATGATTTCTTTTTATCCTCAAGTTAAGTTGGAATTCTCATGCTTATTAGTGCATCTTTTATTAACTATATTATTCATATTTTATTAAAAATAAGGATTTTAGGTCACAGATTGCACTCTTAAGTATTAAGATAAGATAACACAAACAACATGCACCACATTATTCAAAGATCTGTAGTAGAGCTTGATGTGAGATCTAGGATGGTTTAAGAGGATATCAATATTTATACCTTATAGTTATTATTTACTAGAAAAGATTTTAGGAAGGCCACGTCCACATTTAATCTGGACTAACCTTCTTGCTTTATTATGAGTAAAGTCCCGTTCACCACCTGAACTAGTCGCAGAATTTGAAAGACACCCTCAAACTTCAAATAGGACAACATATATACCTTAACTTTAAAAACGAGACAAAATATCCCATTGACTGTTTCAAAGCGGTTTATTGGGTGGTTTCTCCGATGTGGCAGTGGGGCGGCCTACCTATCATTTGGCTTCTCTCTTTCTCTTATATAAAAAATCATAAACTTTTCATATGAAGTCATATGAATACAAACTTTTATATCAAAGTTGTATGATCCACAACTCTTTAGTTGATAAAATTTTTATTTAGTATATTTTAGAGGCTCAAATATTTGTTTTAAGTTACAAGGTTTTTTAAAATTAATTTGAGCCTATAAACATCACTATATAAAAATGTAACGAACTACAAAGTTACAGAACATATTTAAAGGTACATCTTTTGTGTACACCACGTCAACATCTGAAGTTGTTTGAAAAATTCAAAAATAAAACAAAATTCAAAACTAGAGAACTTAAAATGAATATTTGGGTCTCTAAAAATATTCTCAGATAAAAAAAATTGTCAACAATAAAGTTGTAAACCTTACTAGGAACTTCAAATTTAGTATGTACTATGTCAACATCCGAAGTCATTGGAAAAGGTAAAAAAATTAAATTTTAAAATCTAGTAAATTAAAACAAATATTTGAGCCTAAAAATATATCAAAAATTTATTAATTACAAAGTTGTAGATCAATTTGAGCTCTAAAACTTTGACATAAAATTTATATTCATACGAATTTATATGAAAAAGTTATGCTTTTTATATATAAGAGAAAGAGAGACCAAATGAGCCCCACCGTCACATGCAAAACCACCCAAGAAACCACTTCGAAATGGTTAAGGGGAGTATTTTATCTGATTTTAAAAGTTAAGGTGTGTGTTGTTTGCTATTGAAATTCGAGGAGGGGGAGGGGGTTTCAAATTTAGCAGGTAGTCAGGGGTGAATCAGACTTTACTCTATAATCATATTATCGATATAGATATGCCAAATGTTTGTAAATTAAAATGTATAAATATATCAAAGAATATTTTCCATAAATTATATGCCATAGATATTAATATGATCTTAAATATTTTATTAATATCATTTGTATATGATTATATGAGTCATTAAGGGAACAATTTTTTATTAATACCACCGCTAGAGTGTGTTAGTGATCACTAAAAACGCTATTTAAGCGCCTTATTTTTTTTCTCCATTACGCAAAAGGTTTGTGCATCTTTGTATTAAGATAGAGAAAAAGTTTAATACAACACGCCTTAGCGGCACCCAAGGGGGTCAGAATAGTTTTACATGGACGCTCAGACCCTCCCTAGTATATTGAAAGTTATACTGTTACATTTGGCACTGATCAACCTGAATTAGGTGCCGGCTAGGAGACCTATGCCCGGGCTCCCGGGCGGCGGCGGCGCTGCTTGCGCGCACCGACATCGCCGTTTGGTGGGAACAACTCACGAAGCGCCTACATATTATCGGGGTCACCGCTGAAGATTTCTTGGTACGCCTTCATGACCAACTTGGACGGAGAGGACATCCCGCTGGTTAGTCCCAGGCGCTTCAAGATAATGTGCTCACCTCGCTTGGACGCCGGAATATGTGACATGCTCTGTGCCGCTATCTGCTTGCTTCTCTTGGGGAGCGCGAGCGGTGCACATCCCCCGTGGACCGTATCAACTCCGGGCGATTCCAGGAGTGGCGGCTGCCTCGCCTTTGTGACTCGCTCGATGAAGCGCTTGAGGCGTCTGTCGGTAGAGGACGTTAGAGGGGATGGAGTGTTGTTGACGGCGTCCATGGTAGCCACGACCGTCATGTCTCCAGGGTTGGCAGCCCTGACCAACGTTGGATCAAAGCACGCCTCGGCATCCACAACGTCGACGTTGGGCTGTCCCCCGTGGCGACGTGACCTGTGGTGTCCCCTGCACAAGCAACGGAGAACGAGTGTCCATCAGCAATGCATCCACTTCTCGAGAAGCGGCCGCCGGAGCAATCGAGCACCCAGGCCCTGGTGCTCATGTTAGGGTGCTCATGACTAGCGAGGCGGCGAGCTCCTTTAACGCCAGCGTATAAGTTTATTTAAACGCCTTGATCATATAGGCCTCGTTCGCTTGTCTTAAATTTGGCTTGTTCGGCTTATTTTTTCAGCCGGAACAGTGTTTTTCTCTCACAACAATTCAGCCGGAACAGTGTTTTTCAGCCAGTTTCAGCCAAAGTTCAGACCAGCGAACGGGGCCATAAAAGCATTATTTAATATGTTTTACATTCATATAACCGTATAAGTTTACAGCCATACGACCGACCCCTTCCAAGATCACCAGCTAAGCACTAGTTCTATGGTTCGCTGGCCATTTAATAAAAAACATTAGAGTTTCTTAAGCTTAATCTGCGCCCCATACTGTGGCTGCAGAGTGGAGACTGCGCACGGTGCATGCGTGTAAGACGGTGAAAGCTCGAACAAGAAGTGTTGCAGGATCATGGCTAAGCCCATCTTGGCCTCCAGTAGCGCGAAGTTCTGACCAACACATATCCGCGGCCCCCAGCCGAACGGAAAGAACGCCGGCGCGTCCTTGGATGCCTTGGAGACGCCCTCCGCGAACCTCTCCGGCCTGAACTTGTCTGCGTCTTCTCCCCAAACTCCTGGGTTGTGGTGGATGCACACAATTGGCAACGAAAATACAACACCAGGTGGGTACCTGACCCCTCCAAGCTCTGTCTCCTGATACGTCTCCCGGCCAAGTAGCAGTATAGGCGGGTACAACCTTAGAACCTCATGTAATATCATTGTAACCTGCGACAGAAAAAAGGCAGCTGGAGCTTTGCAGATTTGTGACTGAAACGTGAAAAATGTCAGAATATTGTGTCTTTGCATTTTTGAACTCACGCTTTTGAGCTGATTCATGCCATCAGAGTCCGGTTGGTTCTTCCCAAAGATGCGAAGAACCTCCTCCCTTGCGCGATCCTGCCACTCAGGGTGCATGCTCAGAAGCACCATTGTCCATGTGAGCAGCACTGCGGTTGTCTCCATCCCTGCGAAGTAGAATAGCTTCAGCTCCCCGATTATGTCCTCTGTACTCATCACTGCCTTGGTGCTCCCACTTTCCTGGCTTTCTTTAGTGTTGGATTCCAGTAACAATCCTAGTAGGTCGTCGTTGTCGAGTCCATCCTTCATTGCCCTCTCCCTCTTTGAGATAATGCCTTTCAGAAGCGTCTCAACTTCACGCGCGTTTTCCTTCATCCTTTTATTTAACTTTGTTGGTAGGAACCTATGCAAAGAAATCAACACATCTCATTTTTCTGCTTTGAGAATTACTGAGGTTTACGTCAGATAGTAAATGGAGATTTTTTTTTCAATTGAAGAAGCAATCAAGCAATTGGGTGGATAGCGCCTGCTGATGCCATTTTTCTTCTGGTCAGTAGGCAGCTGCTGGTGTTCTTTTAGATATGCTACAGTACTAGTTGTTCTGACATCTCCATGTAATTTGCACCAAACTTTAAAATAAAATGAATATTCATGCGAGGTTACCTGTAGGCTGGGATATGCATCCTGTTTGCCATATTTACAGCATTTTGTGCCTGCTCCGATTGCAACTGGAAGATCCTTCTGCCTTCACTCAAGCTGCTCCCGAACGCCGCGCGGGAGATGACGTCGCCTGTGAGGTTTTGGAACTCCGGCCACACATCTATCTCCTGCATACCCTCAGAGCCTACAGAGTTCTCCCATCTGCGTATCAGTTCACTGCAACATGCGGCGAAAGCTGGCAACATTCTCTGCCAAAAAAATCAACCAATTCGATGTTTCAGTTCCAGCAGAGCAAAACATCAGACCTTAAACTTATGTTTTGTCTAGGCTTGGGGAATTTCAGGTGAATTAGTATTGCAAAGAGTCCAATAATATTCCAACAGGCAGTGAGGCAATATAGATTGAGGTTGTGTGTAAAGAAGTGACCTTGAGCTTTTCGAGATGGAAGGCGTGGTTGATAATCCTCCGGTGCATGGCCCATTTCTCGCCTTGGTGGGTCGTCAGGCCGTTGGCCAGCAGCCTCTCAACCCAAAGAACGGACTTCTGCTTCCCAAATACGCCGTGCTTGTTTGCCAGGATCTCTCGCATGAGTTTAGGGTCGTTCATGATCACTCTCGGCTCCGGCCCGTACCAGGTCACAGCGAGATTACCATGCTGCCTGGTGATGCTGTGGTCGAAGGGAAGCGCTCGAGGAGCGACGGCGTGCGACGCCGCCAGGGGCATGGGCTCAGAGTACGCCGCGGCGGCGACGCGGAGGAACTCCCTCATGTCGCCGGAGGGGAAGCGGTACGCCGTGCCAGGTAAGCCCTGCGACCGCAGGGCGCGCCCCAGCCTCCGTGGGCGGAGCCAGAACCGGTCCAGCGCCCGCCACGCCCCACACAGGGCCGCCACTGCCAGTGCTCCGAGCGCGCAGAGCAAGCTCCATGGCGGCGCTGCGGGTGATGCACAAAGAATAGTCGCCATGGCTGTCGCCTGTCTACTGATGACCTGCTCCGTGACCGGACCGTGATGATATACGTATATGTGTGGGACAGTCAGAGGAAAGATGTGGTGAAATAGCCGTGATGAGCACGTGACCGCGCGCTTTGGACTTTTGGTTGGTTCTTCGACGCTTCCTCCACGAGTCTTCGTCATGGTTTCGCGCGTCACATCGCAGACGAATAGACTTCCTCTCCGGATGGTTTAGCATTCTTTATAGCTGGAAGATTGGACTTGCTAGGGCAATGTTCCAGGAGCACTCCGCAGTCCGCACCGCCCCACGGCAAACAAGGACGACTCTTCTTCTATTCTATACGATTTCTTGTTTGACAGAAACTGCGGCGACTCTGCTTCGCATAATAGTCTTACAGGACAGACAGTTGCACGCTTTCGTGATTCGGCACCTTAATTCATGGATCATTTAGACCGAAAATAATAGTACTGCGCAGGAGCATGATCGGAGGCAGATATGATTGTGGTTTTTGAACTCACACGGTGTAGAAACGTGCACTGTGGGTCTGTGGCCTCGGAGTAACCGTGCGGGTCACATCAAATTCATTACTTAACTCTTCTAGGCATGCACCGGTACTACTTTCAAACATATGGTGAGTACCGGTAGTAGCCTCGTCGTCTCCATGTTCCACTTGCATTAACTACGATAGCAGTAATGCGACAAGCGGTATCCATATCTGAGAAGAGCGACGATTACAATCGATGTACATCTAGCTGGGCAATCCCAGACATATGCCCGTACTTCTCGAAGGAGCAAGTACAATGCTGTCGTTCCTATCCTACAACCAAGGCCTGAAATGACCTGACCACCCCGGGGAACCCACCCTAGGGGGCCTATCCCGGACGGGTCCCCCCATAAGTTTGGTCTATGGACATTCACCGTCCCAAAAACAACCACTAGATGGCTAGTGAAACACCTTACTGAACGATTTGTGCACCTTAGTTGTAAGACAATACTTAGCTTAACGGTCCACTATAATTCAGGCCCCTGTTATGTGTTCGGTACCTTCAAACTTGTCACAATGCTACTAGCGGTATAGTCCTTAACCGATACATGCAGAAAAAACAAGCGCCCAGAGCCTGCCCTGCGGCACCCACCAACCCTTCAAAAAATCCATTTTCCCACTTCCCGCCCGGTCTCCAATTATTATTCATTTTCAAAGCCATAAGACAGCAGGACCTATCTCTCGCAAGTGACAATCAAATCACTCGACTTCTACCGCAAGTCCTATAGCATAGCATATTACATGATCCATGTCATGCTAGTGGACTCATATGATAGAATGTTATGCAGGTGAGTTCCAGGCAACTCCTGCAACTTAATGCACACCAGCATAATAATAAGTGTTTGTAGAAATAGGAGTTATGCACCGGGGCTTGCTTGGTTAACTTCTTAACACTCAGTTAGTTAGCTCCATCTTCAGGACACGATCATCCTCCGATTTCAGGGTCCATGATTTGATCCATCAACCAAAATCGCACCTAAATGATATGCAAAGATGCAATGCCTGCTTAAGTGAAACAGGCATATCATAGATATTCACAAACATTACAAACAAGCAACACGTCGTAGGGTGAACTAATGGTATTAATCGTTCTAGATTCGACTCTCATCCTCTCTCATCATTACTTACTCGTGAATTGATTATTAACTTCACAAACGAGTTAGAGTGTGGCATAAGTGTTGGTGGTCATTACTTATTACAATCATAGCACAAGTTATCAAAACAACCATTCTTGCAATTTAAACATACAAATGCAAGCTAGAACAATATGTTAAGCACACATCTACTACTAAACAGAGTTAGGCAAAACTTTGCTCAGTTCACGTATAGCACAATTATCATGGAAAACATGTTGTAAGCATAAGATTAAACATTTATTAGATTTAATAGTTTAATTAAGCATAAAGACGAAATATAAAGCGGAGTGCCAAACATCTAATTTGGAGATGAGGATTTTATGGGAGGTATATATTAACTAATCATACAAGGTTCATAATTTTTGGATAAACATATTATTTACCAGCACTTAATTAAGATTTAATGGCAATAAAGGCATATGACACATGATAAATCAATATTTATGAAACAACAGAGCCACATTATGCATTCATAGGACATAAAAACAGTTATAACACATAGATGACACATATTTTCCAATTTATATATTTTTAACTATTTTAAAACTATTAAACAAGCATAAGATAAATCAAGAACTCAGTAAACCGGAATCTACTACACATGAAATTTTTACCACATCTCACACACATCAAGAGCAACTTACTATAAAATTTTACTACATTAGGTGTGCCAAAACAACATCTATTAATTAAACATATAAAATCTTCGATTTATCTATACAACAAAATCTTTATACTAAGCATGTGATATTATATGTCTAATGCATAGACCTAGTTGTGTGGAGTCCAACAAAACTGGTTTGACATTTTTATGATTTTTCTGTGATATACTATGAATTTTGCAAGCTCTCTATTTTTAACTTAAAAAGACAAAAGCAAGAAAAAGAAAAAGGCCGACCTGGGCTTGCCTCGGCCCACGACCAGAACCAGCCCTGCGCATGGATTTGGCCTAGATTGGAAAAAAGCCCGCCAGCAGAGGCCCAACTCCGATTTGGACTTTTTCATCAGGTACCCCAGACTTTCTCCAAAACAAAACAGGTCCCCCCACCTTTTCTTTGTCTCTTGCACGTTTACATATGGAGCCCTGATTTTCTTTCTATTTCTCTCCTCCACTCCCTATTCTCCATTCACACGAGCTGAGTCCGTCGTCGGGATGTCCGACGGCCGATTCCTGGCCGTGGAGGCACGGAGGCGGAGGTAGACCGGAATGCAGGCTATGTGGTTGCCGGAATCACCAACTGGTGCGTGCGGCGCGGCCGGAGGTGGCCGACAGCGGGCCGGCCGTGCGCGCCAGCGGCCTGCAGGCGGTGGATGCCGCGGTGGCGGCGCATCCGACGATTCTCGACTCTAGAAAGCCCTGAGAGCGTGTGCGGGGCACACAAGGGAGGGAGGCGGAGGTGGTGGTGCCAGCGGTCGAGCACAGGGAGGCCTGGTGGTGGTGGAACACGGTGCAGCAGGAGCTCGCCCGGCCATGGCGACATCACATCGAGACAGAGAGCAAGCGAGACGGAGAGCAGAGCGAGGGTGAGCGCAGGGGCACGGCGGCGTGGCAAGGATGCGGGCAACGCGTGGCCACACATGGCACGGACTATGCGCGCATAGGGAACGACGTGGGCGCGACAGAGACCATGTGCCC